CATCATGTGCCAGCAATGCCCCTCTGCCACTTACATTGGCCAAAGTGGACAGTCTCTACGTAAACAAGAGATTCACTTCCTGGACACTACGGTGCTAATAAGCGATGGTCACATAAACACCACCCTATACCGGAAACCTACTGACAGCTATGCCTACCTACATGCCTCCAGCTTTCATCCAGACCACACCACACGATCCACTGTCTACAGCCAAGCTCTACGATACAACTGCATTTGCTCCAACCCCTCAGACAGAGACAAACACCTACAAGATCTCTATCAAGCATTCTTACAACTACAATACCCACCTGCTGAAGTGAAGAAACAGATTGACAGAGCCAGAAGAGTACCCAGAAGTCACCTACTACAGGACAGGCCCAACAAATTAAAAAACAGAACGCCACTAGCCATCACCTTCAGCCCCCAACTAAAACCTCTCCAATGCATCATCAAGGATCTACAACCTATCCTGAAGGATGACCCATCATTCTCACAGATCTTGGGAGACAGGCCAGTCCTTGCTTACAGACAGCCCCCCAACCTGAAGCAAATACTCACAGCAACCACACACCACACAACATAACCACTAACCCAGGAACCTATCCTTGCAACAAAGCCCGTTGCCAACTGTGTCCACATATCTATTCAGGGGACACCATCATAGGGCCTAATCACATCAGCCACACTCTCAGAGGCTCTTTCACCTGCACATCTACCAATGTGATATATGCCATCATGTGCCAGCAATGCCCCTCTGCCATGTACATTAACCAAACTGGACAGTCTCTACCTAAAAGAATAAATGGACACAAATCAGATGTCAAGAATTATAACATTTAAAAACCAGTTGGAGAACACTTCAATCTCTTTGGTCACTCGATTACAGACCTAAAAGTGGCAATTCTTCAACAAGAAAAACTTCAAAAACAGACGCCAACGAGAGACTGCTGAATTGGAATGAATTTGCAAACTGGATACAATTAACTTAGGCTTGAATAAAGACTGGGCGTGGATGGGTCATTACACAAAGTAAAACTATTTCCCCATATTTATCTCCCCCCCACCCCCAACTGTTCCTCAGACGTTCTTGTCAACTGCTAGAAATGGCCCACCTTGATTATAACTACAAAAGGTCCCCCCCGCCCCCAGCTCTCCTGCTGGTAATAGCTCACCTTCCCTGATCACTCTCATTACAGTGTGTATGATAACACCCATTGTTTGTTTCATGTTCTCTGTGTATATAAATCTCCCCACTGTATTTTTCACCGAATGCATCCTATGAAGTGAGCTGTAGCTCATGAAAGCTTATGCTCAAATAAATTTGTTAGCCTCTAAGGTGCCACAAGTACTCCTTTTCTTTTTCCCTCCTCCTAGTCTCACTCATCTAGTTAAAACATGGCTGTGTGGTTCTTGGTCAAACTTTCCAAAGGGGCAGGGTGAAAACACAAGATACCCACATGCATCTTACACAAATCTTTAGGACAATACCAAGCATAGGAAGTGTCAAGACCAGAGGGAATTTGAGAGAGTTCTCAGTGAGGGACGATGTCCTTTGAAAGGACACATGTGCCTTTTCAGCCTACTAAAGCAATCGCTACACGCAAAGTATTTGGTGCCAAGGGTTAGAACTAGGGGGAACAGCAGGGATAGCAGGACCATTTGCTTTGCAAAAAGCAGGAAACCTCCTTGTCCTTTCCCTCCCGCCATGGGGGAGCCCAGCTTCCTTTCCTTGTGTCCCTACCACTGGCTGAGGAAGTGAAGACTTGCCAGACATGGGGAATAAGATTCTTATACCAAGATGGAAAGTTTCTGGGGCTCCTAGCCAGAAGGTTGAGCAGCAGTGCCCCAGCCTGGAGTGTCCTACGGTCTCTCCTCCCCAGGGAAATTCCCCACCCATGGCTTTGGTATCCACAGCTGCTGCACCATCAAGAGTCCTATAATTCCTGAGGGCCTAAGAAATCCCCCTAAGCCTGAGTCTAGGGCCTAAGGTTTAGCAGATCTGGGCTGGCTCCAGGTGAACAACCGGGGGAGCTCAAGATGAGCTTGGACAGAGGGGGAATGGAAGAGAAAGCTAACGGCATAGACTGTGTGGTCCAAAGGATCAGGCGTTGGCCTGGGAGTCAGGAGACCTGGGTTCTATTGCTGGCTGGCTCTGGGCTGCTGTGTGACATGGAACCAGTCACTTCCCCTCCGTTACCCCAGCTGGGTAATAACTCCTTTGTAAAGGGATTTGCGGTCTGTGGAGTGAGTGCTGTGTAAGAGCTAAGCATGGCTTTGTGCAAGGTGCTCAGATACCATGGTGATGGGCACCCTCACAAAAACCTAAATTGATAGGGAGAGGAGGTGGCTTAGATGGAGGAAGGGAGAAATAAATAAGTCAGAGGGATAAACACGGAAAGAGCGAGGAAGTGACCTAGGCGGATGAAGGAGAAAGAAGAGCATAGCCAATTAAGGGAAAAGGATGAAAACAGAAACTGCTCTGTGGAAAGTCTGGTGCCAGGGAGACACGAGGAGGTGGGTCTTTAGAGATGTGATTGGGTTAAAATAATTTAGATGGAGAGAAACTCATGGTTCAGGCCACAAACTAACTGCTAACTTAGATTTGGAAGAAACTCACCCTGTGGGAAAGTTTGGTCATGGTCACCCCCCTTGGAGCAACTAGCAATGCCGACTGTTGGAGACAGGCTCCTGTTCTAGATGGACCAGTGGTCCCATGCCGTGCAGTTATGTTCCTATGGAGATATGCACTGGTGTCCTGTATCAGGTGTAGGGGAGGGGATAATGGAGTCTGGTTCTACATGGCATTTTACATTGTTAATGCAGTGCCGCCCTCTGAGGTGGTTTTGTTTTACATTTATGGCTGATTGAAAGGGGAGCAAATTCATTGGATTTGATGCATGTTTATGGATTTTTTAAGATAACTTACCACTGGCAAGTTCTATTAAACAGCTGCAATTGACAACGACATTTTGGCAGAAAGTTTCTCTTCAGTGTTGTCTTGCAATTTCCTGCGTTACAGGAGAATTCATTGGGCATTTCAGAAATGTTCAGAGGAAGAAGCCAACAGTGTTCCAATGTCCGTTCTCTTTTTATGTCAAAGACTCGCCCGTCTGGTGTAGTCTGAATAATGATCGAGGGAGAGAGAAGGGGAAACCCCAGGAAATGCCCCTACAAAGTGGGGTGTCATGTTGGAGAGTTGTATGTGGTCAGAAGATTCTACGTGGTGAGACTTCTGGGGATGGTGTTTTGTTTCTTGCATTTTCTCAGGATGGAGATGTCTCTGTGAAGTTTTGCTTCTTTTTTCTTCATGGTGCAGAGTTTGGCTGGCTTGAGATTGCTTTCAGATTCACTTTCCCTCATTTTCCTTCTCTGCATCCATTCTCCATCTCCACAGGATGATGCAAGGAATACTGCCTCACTGCCTGACAGATGTCTGTTAGCCCAGCACTTACTTTGGTGAACTTCTTTTCTTTTGTTCTGCTTTAATCACTCTCTGTCTAGGAAGATTAAATCTTTCATTTTGGGAGCCACACAGGCTGCTTCTAAATGTGTCTAAAACTTGATAATGGCTTATACAACCCTGGGCTTTGTCCCTGAGCCCCACAGTAACCCATGGGAGGAGGTGTAAATGGATGGAAGATCAGGGCACACAATTCTGATGTTTGTGTGGGCAGGTTGTCAGTTACAGGTGGAACCTAGCTCTGTGTCTAGGATCAGCCGTCTTCAAAGTGATGTAACAGTTACTCAGCAGTAATAAGGAGTCTCTTATCCAAGGATCTCAAAGCACTCTACAAAGGCAGATATATATGGAGGAGCAAAGATACAGAGATTTGACAATCAAAGTTTACAAAAGGAGCCATTTAAAAAAAAAATCATTGTCTCTGATAGGCATTTGTTTTCATGGGTTGCTTGTCTTTAGGGGTTCATGGATCTGTCTCTGTCATTATCACAGCTGGAGTTGGGGGCCTGTGAAACCATGGACATAGGTCTCCTTATTTTTTTAAACTATCGCTAAGGCTGAATATAGCCTTGAAAATGTGGCCCATCTTCATAACACCAAGCACTAGAAACAGACTTCAAGACAAGCTATTTTCTAGGATTAAAAGTTCAGCCACTGATTGTTTTTTTTTCCCCCTAGTCTCCCGCCATAGCCAGCCTCACCTGGCCTTGGAGACTCCTGAGAACCATAGGTATAGGGCCAGAGAGGTTTTTTGGTGAGGAAAAAGTCCAACTGATTCATGGCTGTGCATCTGGACTGTCACTTGTGAGCCTAGCGATGGAAGCTTTGGGACCATCTGTATCAAGTTTGTTCCAAGAGCCCAAGGCAGTGTATTGACAGAAGAGATGTCTCAGGAGGTCAGGTATCGGTGGGGGGGGGCAGGTTGGAGCGCTATGAACAGTATTTGGGATGGGGACGATGGAGTTCACAGTCCTGCTACGAGAGTCCACCTGACAGTGTGGCTGTGGCCACAGCAGCTCAGGCTGGTTATGAGTCTATGGATTAGACTTGGTCTACATGTAAGTGAGGTCAGCACCTTGCCCTGTGGTTGGCCACACTCCTGCGTGACATTGCCATGCCAACCGAACCCTCACGGCGGATGCAGCTGCGTTGACAGAAGAATGCCGCCATCGCTGAAGCGCCTGTCATTCGGGGAAGCAGTGTCCTGCACCAAAGGAAAACCCCGCTTCTGTTGGCGTTGGCTGCGTCCACACCACTGCATTATACTGGCCTATACAGGGATATAGCTATGCTGGTACAGCCCCTGTACTGTACAGGGACCCTTAGGGTTAGACTCCCATTATGTTTCGTTTAAGCATGTTAAGCTTGATTGACTGGAACAGGGGGTGCAGGAAGAATTAAACTGGAGCCATGTCTCCCACTGTGCTGAGTGGGAAATCAAGGCACAGGGCCTAACCTTTAGAGTGTACGCAGCTAATCAGCCCAGGGCCCTGAGCTCATTGCCAATGCCTTTTGAATAGGGTTTTTTTCTTCTTTGCAGAATATGGCCCCGAGAAGAACGCAGCAGGTGCGGGCGGGGCCTTCCACGGAGCAATCCTACGTCTACAAGGTGGTTCTGCTGGGGAGCACGGCCGTGGGAAAGTCAAGCATAGCCTTCCGCTATGTGAAAAATGACTTCAGGGAATCCATGCCCACTGTGGGATGTGAGTGAGTGGCAGCAATGAACTAACCCTTTGGTGCAATATAAAGGGCCTGACCTGCGTCTCCCTTAGAATCATAGAATATAAGGGTTGGAAGGGACCCCAGAAGGTCATCTAGTCCAACCCCCTGCTCGAAGCAGGACCAATTCCCAGTTAAATCATCCCAGCCAGGGCTTTGTCAAGCCTGACCTTAAAAACCTCTAAGGAAGGAGATTCTACCACCTCCCTAGGTAACGCATTCCAGTGTTTCACCACCCTCTTAGTGAAAAAGTTTTTCCTAATATCCAATCTAAAGCTCCCCCACTGCAACTTGAGACCATTACTCCTCGTTCTGTCATCTGCTACCATTGAGAACAGTCTAGAGCCATCCTCTTTGGAATCCCCTTTCAGGTAGTTGAAAGCAGCTATCAAATCCCCCCTCATTCTTCTCTTCTGCAGGCTAAACAATCCCAGCTCCCTCAGCCTCTCCTCCTTATAGCAGGCGTACCTCTGCTGAAGTCAGTGGAGCTATGCTCGTGTGAAGTGTGGTTTTGTTGATGCTAGCAGGCCCAGCAGAGCGCCTACAGGCCGTCACTCGGGAGGCAGGCTCCTGTTGGAACTTCCCGGGCAGCTGTGGCGGCTCGCTAACGGGATGTGATCCAACAGAACCCCAGGTTACAGGCAGGGAGTGCGTGGTTCGTTTGGTTTCTCAGCTCAGGCACAGGATGGACGACCGAGAGATAAGGAAAAGTCTGGTTAAGGTAGCGCAAGCTGTGCAGACGACGGTGCCCGTTTGAAAAGCTGGGCCTTTTCTGATGCTGCTCTTTACAGCTGGGTCTTTAGGCACCTACTTAAGAAGCACTTCTGAAAAAAGCCAGGCCTGAGCATCGACTACTCCCCTGACGCCAGCGGCCAAGTGCCTTTTGAGTTCAATGGCAGGGAGGATGAGGCCACATGCAAGACACATTTCTCCACTGGGGTAGATTGGAGACGCAGGGACCAAGAACAGGTTTCAGAGTAGCAGCTGCGTTAGTCCGCAGAAAGAACAGACTTTATTGAATTGAATCGAATCTATTCCCTTAAGTTAAGCATCCTCACACCTTCTTGTCAACTGTCTAAATGGGCCATCTTGATTATCCCTACAAAAGTTTTTTTTTTTCCCTCCTGTTGATAATAGCTCATCTTAACTAATTAGACTTTCACAATTTGTATGGTAACTTATCTGTATGTATGTATGTATCTATCTATCTTACTATATGTTCCATTCTATGCATCCGATGAAGTGAGCTGTAGCCCACGAAAGCTTATGCTCTAATAAATTTGTTAGTCTCTAAGGTGCCACAAGTCCTTCTGTTCTTTTTAGGGACCAAGAAATCATGAATAGGGAAACAGCAACGCAGCTGTATTCATTGTGCAGTTAGAGTGACATCTAGTGTTTCATTGCAGGTAATGTAGCATTTAAATAGGTCTCAGCAAGGATCATATTATTACAAAGCTCATGTCAGCAGTGGGTTTTGGTGGCATTTGAACTGAGCCTGCAGTTCTGACTAACCCAAGAGAGCGTTTATAGCATTTAATGGTAAATGGTAGACTTTCCCCTTTGCAATCCCTCCCCCCACACCCTGACTTTCCCAACTGCCCCCACAGAAATACTACCAATTGCTCTGTGTTATCTATGGATGTGTGCCAGTCCCATTCTCAGCGTTCACTGCAAAATTGCACCAAGTTCTTACTCTCACTGCAGAAACTGACACAGGTGTGCCCTTGAATCCTAGGAACTGCACTTCAGAGTTTGATCTTCTGGCGTTAGGTCGGAACCACCCCCAGTATAATTCCTGGGTGTCAGAAAAACAGACGTAACGCTCTGTTCCACGCTGTTTGTGTCAGACGACTTAACAAGTCTGCTTCTTGGATTTCCTCTGATGGCTGACAGCAAGGCCTCCAACAGATGACATTTAAAGTCTGTCTTCCCAGACTCCCAGTAGCTCTGCCCATTAGATAGCTCTGGTCAGCAATCTAGTCCAAGCACCCCACCTAGCCTCCCCCCCGATGTCATCGGCATACCTGCCTTTGACATCATTTTCATGGTGTTTAAACAGAAACCCACTCACATGAGAACTAGGTGAAATTTCAGCCAAAGATTTTTTTTCTGAAAAAGCTGCCGATCCAGTGACACCACTACATGTTATGAGTTCATGGTCGCAGTAAGAAAAGGAGGACGTGTGGCACCTTAGAGACTAACCCATTTATTTCAGCATAAGCTTTCATGAGCTACAGCTCACTTCATCGGTGTTAGTGTAGCCATGTTGGGCCCAGAATATTAGAGAAACAAGTAGGTGTTTTATTGGACCAATTTCTGTTGGTGGAGGGGACTAGGGTGACCAGATATCCCAATTTTATAGGGACAGTCCCGATATTTGGGGTTTTATCTTATACAGGCGCCCGTTACCCTCCACCCCGTCCTGATTTTTCACAATTGCCGTCTGATCACCTGAGAGGAGACAAGCTTTTGAGCTTTACAAAGCTCTTCAAGGTCTGGGTAGGATGCTGAGTATTTAGCTGAAACACTCTGGTTCCTTCCTCGGACCTGAAGAAGACCTCTGTGTAGCACGGAAGCGTGTCCCTTCCCCCCAACAGAGGTTGGTCCAAGATAAGATCTTATCTCACCCGCCTTGTGAGTTCATGGTAGTTTCACTAAATTGTTTGTTTAAAAAAAACCACCTGAACAAAATATCATGTTTCAATTTTCTGGTTTGAAATTACTTTCAAAAATTCCTTTAGTCTTATTTTAAAAAATTATTTAGAATGGTCAAAGTCGAAATAAATGTTTAATTTGACCCACAATGAAATTTCTCTTGACTTAGAGTCAAAATCTTTGAAACATTTCATGTGGTGTTGGACTTGCAATTAATTTTTTTTGACTTTTCAAATTGCCACCAACAAAACCAAACCACCATTATTCACACAGTTCTGCTACACGCTCCCATCATCAGATGCAAAAAGGTTCACCTCAGTAGGCAACACTGATGGAAAACATGGCTTCAGTTTTTATTGGAGATGTCAACACAAGGTCAGTTAAGTCTCTTTAGGAAGTTTTACAAGCTTACAGACCCTGGTATGAGCTAGAGAGGCCATTGATATTCATGGGACTGATCCCCGTCTGTTCTATGTTGACTTCAATGGAGGTAAGGCCAGTTTACATAAACAAGGATCTGGCTCTGTGTCTTTATGTCAGAAATAGGCAGAAAGACACTTTTCTTCCTGTTTTACAAAAGGATCCTGACCTTTGTCAGGAGAGTGGGGATGGAGGATGGAGGGCCCAGGGGGTCTCCCACTCTTCCACACAATCCAGGCAGTCACAGAGCCTATACCAAGGAGCGTGGTGTCATTTGCCTACATTAACTGGCACTCAGAGAAGTCTTCTGTCCCTCCCAGAGCTCTCTGGAGAGCTTTGGCTCTGTACTGCCCCCTCTACCTCAAGCCCATGTCTGTGTTAGACAATCTGGCCCTTAACAGATGGCTTCTGCCTATCTACTGTGCACAGCCGCACATTTGAGCTGCTATAGCGTTTTCAGTCCAAGGATCTTCGAACATTTTGCAGACATTTGCTCGCTTTCACAGCACTCCAGGGAGGTGGATTTTAATTAGACCCATTTTCCATCTGGGCAAGCTGAGACAGAAAGGTTAAGGGCTAGCTTGGGACTTTGCCCACACATTTGCCTGGGGGACTATGGGAAAGCAAAGGCCTCTCCTCCCACCTTTACACCCCTGGGCCAGGTGTGCAGGAGTAAACATGCATCTGTCACTTCCCTAGAGCAGGGAGAGAGGGCGAGCAGGCATGGCCTGGGTGCCACCCCCGCCCACTGGCCAGCCTAGCCCTGCCAGTTTGGGGGTGGGGCAGGTTTGCTGACATGGGCTAAGAGCAAGACAAAGCAGTGATAGAATTGTAGCTCAGAAGCATCTGAGCACCTCCCCGGGACTACTCGTGGGACAGCGCTGCTTATGTATAATCAGGGCCCACCCGAGACTTAAGTGACTTGCCCAAGGTCATATCAGTGTCAGGGAGATTGCAGTATTTCTGTTATAGCAGCACCCAACAGGGGCCAGGCACCATACAGCTGGATTAGAACTCAAGACTCCTAATTCCCACCCTGCCATCACATTTCCTCCAACTAGACAGCTGCAAAACCAAAGCTTGCTAATGCCACTAATATTGACGGTCTGTCAGCCCTGCTGAAGCGCATTGGTGTAGTACAGTGCTGTTATTGGGCAGTACCAGTTCACCAGCATGTTGGTTACATTGCTTTAGGTGGGGGAGGAGGTGTTTTTATTCTCTCTCTCTCTCTCGCACACTCCCCCCCCCCCCCCGCATAAACCCTTTCCAACTGAATCTTGATACCCATCTTTCACACAGGTTACCGAGATAAAGGTTAACATCTAATAAAGGGGCATGCTATGACTATCTCAGTGAGCTGTCCCATCTCTGTTGCTTCCAGGTTCTTTCTTCACCCAGCTGGTATGTTTAGAGACTGCCACGATTAAGCTTGAGATCTGGGACACTGCAGGACAAGAGAAGTACCATAGCGTTTGCCGTCTTTATTACAGGGGAGCTAATGCTGCCCTTCTTGTATATGACATTGCCAGAAAGGTAAGACAAGTGATGGCTTGTTCCTCCGCCTCTCTCCTCCGGAAGCCTTTCCAAAATATCCAGGCCGAATCTTGATAATGCAGCCACGCCGCTGGTACATTGCAATAGTTCTAGCGTAGGGTAGCTTCCCAATACATCTCCAAACATTTCAACCAAGACGACTTTTCCCTGCACATGTCATGTAAGGGCTACTTTGTGGACAGGCTTATCCTTCGTCTTCTGGTAAAGATGGTTGAAGACATGCAAGGAACTGGTACAGACATTTCGCTTACAGTGGACAATAAAGGCTCATGCTTTCCCCCTAAAACCCAAGATTTCTCTATCTACCCCTACCTCCCAACCCAATCCACCCCAACAGCCAAGTAGGTAATGGAGGAGCATCACTAAGTGCTCTTTGTCCCCCTACCCTCATGTAACCCACACACCTTCTGGGTGTGGTGTTCTGTCTCATCTAGTGGCACCAAGACCACTTAGCGAGATAAAATGAGCCTGGCTCTACAGCCTTGGCTAAGAGTCAGTTGGCTTTTAGCTCATGAGGTAGAGGCTCATGCAGTAAGCAGCAGGTTCAATCCCACCCGCCAACGGCCGGGGTCTGTAGTCGTTACAGTCACTCCCTGGACCTTAAGGATGATATAGTGACAAAGATTAAACGCATCTGTTAGTTGGCTTACACTAATGTCCATTTTTGATGGACTGTTCCAGGGGGACATGTTGCCTGATCTCCCACTACATTATGCATGTCTTTTCCCTTTTACTGGTAGCACGCAACACACAGGAACCGCAACACCAAGGGCCACATGCCTGTATTACTGCCATGGTAGTTACAGAAGGAGAAGACCATAGGCTGCTGTAGAGTAATGTCTCACAGTAACAGAACTTTATGGAAGAGATAGGCCAAGTTTTTAAGAATCCTTGCCCCATCGCGAAAGAGCCAAATCACCTCAGCCCATCACCTGTAAGCTGGGTCTATGACCCACTGCAGATCCATGGTGGTTTGATCATGTCTGATGGAGTAGGAGAAGTCATCCTCCTTGGCTTTGGGGAAGGAAGTACATTTAGAGCCGGTTCCATGCTGAGTAGCCCTCCTAGCATCACTACCTGTGACAAGCACATAACCCATTTGTTTCTACAATTTTTAGCCCTCACTTGCCAATCTCCTTTGGGCCACGTGACAGCTCATGGGTATCTGTCGGTTTATTGTCTGTGTGTCTGTCTCTCTCACCTTTCCAGGCAACTTTTGCGAGAGCAAAGCTGTGGTTGAGGGAATTAGAGAAGGAATTTCTTCACGATGAGATTGTGATTGTTTTAGTCGGCAATAAGACAGATCTTGCCGCTCAGCGGGAAGTCACCTTTGAGGTAAGTGGCATCACTGCAGGAAGATCTCAGCACTTGGTAGATTACCTCTTTCAAAAACATCTTTCAAAAAACAACCGAGTGCTGCACTTCGGGCTTTCAGACTGAACAGTTCTTAAGTAAATGTTTAGGTGAATGCGATTCTCCTAGCAGCGAGCAATATAGCGAGACCCCACTGCGTGCCAGGGATGTTAAGAGGTCATTAATCCCATTTTGCCCTCTGTTTCAGCTGCTAACTTTTTTGGATCTTAGAGACTTTCCTGAGCTATGGTGGGTTTGTTCAGAGGGTTCAGAGTGTGCCATAGGTAGATGTCTATTGTCCCTTTTCGTAGCTTCACATTAAGATGTACAGTGGATGCATCCAGAAAGATTCTACTGTCCTCAGCAATATCCCCTCTTGGCGTAATGGGCAAAGTCTATCAGAAATGGTAGAATCTTTTCAAGCACATTGAGACAGCTCTTTCTAGCACTATAGATCGGCTCATTTATCTCTAGATATATCTCTGATGAAGTGGGTTCTAGCCCACGAAAGCTTATGCCCAAATAAATTTGTTAGTCTCTAAGGTGCCACAAGGACTCCTCGTTTTTTTAAGATATACATAAATCACAGTGGAACTGCACTAAGAACCACCTCAACACAAGAAACCCTCTGTTTTAAGAGCCAACTTTAAAGTGTTTTCATGATTCCTGTGCAATTGTATGACCTGTCATTAAGTGCCATCTCAACTAGGCAGCCAACTTTCGCTAGTCCCCTTGTGACTTAAAGGTAAATCAAAGCCAGCACTGGGCTGCTTTAGAGTAAAGGGTAAAACAGGTTTATTAACAAAAGGAGAAAGGATTTGAAGTGAGTTTACGTATAAAGGCTAGAGTTAGAAATAGTTATAAACAAAAGTGAAAAATGCTTTCTAGGGACTAAGACTTAACAAAGCTACAGTCTTGGTTCAGGGTAAGATTGGCACATGACCTTCCAATAAGATGGCTGACCAACCCCTCTGGTCAGGATCTCCCACAAAGTCCAAAGTGCCTGGTGCCTTTGTCGTTTTAGGTAAAAGATCTTTGCCTAAGCAGGTTTCTCACCTCTATTCAATTCCCAGAGACTTCAATCCCCCTTTGGCTGAAGGACCCATCCTTCTCAGCTTGCAAGAGCTCCGGCCCCTTGTGTCTGTCTAGTGATGGATAACGTAGGGGTTCTCTGCCCCTCTGTTTATAGTCCAGTAAGCCATTGAAAAGCATCTCCCCCAAAGTTCATTGTGCTTGCTTGCAGTGGCAGGAAGGCTTTCTAGGGGTGTATCTCTATTCCCCCTTTGAGACTGGTAAGTGGTTATCTTTCCCCACTTGCTGTCCTGATGGCTTGGTTTACCTTGCCCATAAATATGCCTTTGTTGCCTCTTCCTGAAGGTTGGTCAGACCAGCAAAGACACAGTTCTGTGTGATCCGGACATGCTGACTCCCCAGCTAGCTTGTGAGCTTTGATAGTTCTGTTTACTGCCTAGGTAAACTGCAATCCCCCTGTCACGGGCCAACCCTGCTTCACTGGTACTAGAGGCCTTGGCAGACCCATTTTCTACTTTGCTGAAAGACAGATTTTAAAATATAAGATCAGAACATCCAGGACTCCATGTATCGTGTCAATACACACATCTCACAAAGCTCTGAACCGCCCGTGTCATTGCTTTTCCAGGGAGATATCACATGATGCCTGTTAGATACAGATCATGACCCCAAGGAATTGGCTACATTGGTCAAGCCAGCTGAAACGCACTGCTTGATACCATGGAGCCCTTGGCCTTTGGGATGCTGTTAGGGTCACACCTTCCCCCTTACAAAGCAGGAGGGTTAGCCACTGGCTGGCCTGGAGGCAGCAGGTCAGAACCCTCTCTCCTGGATGGGGTGTCTGCCCCCATGTTTTCTTTCCCCTTTACATAAAGGAGACAAAACAGGTTCCATCTGTCTGTTTACAGTCTCTGGGGATGTGGTATTGGGGAATAGCTGTGATTTCACCTACAGAGTTGTCACAAACATTTCACAGTGACATTACTGACCAGTGTGGTGTTAGATTTCAAACAACATAGTATACCTCACCTTTTAAATAAGTATCACGACACCAGCGAGTGAGGTGTGGTGAGAATGTCACGCCTGACAAGAGTCACTGACCCAGAGTAACAAACCACCGGTGGGCCTCTGTGTCACACAACTAAACATGGGTAGGTCTTCAGTGCAGTTAACCCCCCACCCATCCACACAAAACCCCACCCACTTTGTAGTGAGGGTGCAGAACAAACTATTCCAGTGCCGATAGGCCTCCAGTGCCTTCCCACAATTCCCCTTGTGCGCCCAGAAGGAGAGTGGCGTTCTCCCACAATCCCCTGGGAAAGAATCAGAGGGGTTCAGCGTACTGCAGCAGACAGAACCATGGGCTATGCCTCCAGAAGCCAGAGCGACACACTCGGGAGAGCTCAGCACCAGTGGGGACATAATAATTTGGGGAGGGAGTTGCCATGTGGCTGCTCACCGCCAGGCTAGGCCAACTTGGGTGCCAGTCACCTGAGTTAGCTGCTGTGAAGACATACCAAGTGAAATACAGCTATAACTGCAGGCTGTGTGTCATCTGGACACTCGCTCCATCGCATGTGCCCTTGCCTAGTGTCATTTGATCATGCAGGCTGTTGTGATGCCTTTCCTGCAGGGCTCTGATCGAAATGGTGGGGATTAGGGCTGGCTAGAAAACAAGACTTCCATTGTGTGAGAAATGGAGGCACCAGGCAGAGCAGGGATTCAAACCTGGGCTTCCCAAGTGATCGCCCTACACACAGGGCTGTTGGCTAGTCTGGGTCGGGGGCTCTCTCACCAGAACACCAGCCTGGACTTGAAAAACCTTCTTGAGGAAAGTTTAAGCTAAACCCACATTTCTACAAAACACATTTTTGTTATCCACACCAGCATTTTCCAATAGAAATACGTTGGCAAAGAATTCCTGACCAGCTGTAGCAGAGATAAGGGTAGGGTGAGAAGGGGGCAGGGAGGCTGAGCGTAGTAGCCTTATCTGCCAACTTCCTGGCTTGTTGGCTTTAAATCTTAGCACAGGATAGCCTGTTAGTACATGTATGGTTGCAGTTATGCTCCTGCTTTGACCCCGTAGTATTTATGAGTTGACTCCTTTCTCCTCACCCCCCCCCCCCGCCCCACTTTGGACAAGATCTTGCTCTGAATATGTCCTGTAGAAACCAGGCCATCTGCAAGGCTAGTGCATCAAAACCCGGTGAGCCAGCGAGTTTTAACACGGTTATATCAATGAGTGGTTCCCACCACACCACACTCTGATTCCAGTCAGAGAGCTGTTGCAATGCCTTGAGCGGTGCAAGAGAGAAAACAAGCGGGGCCTAAACAGTTAGGCTGCAACCGTGTGAATGGAACGGAAGGCGCGTGAGCTGGGGCAATAGGAAGCTTTAGGCTTTGCAGCAGAATCTACAGGAATGCAAGGGTGGCTGTATCACCGGACACTCCGCTCTTCAGAAAGATGGGGAACTAAAGTCAGCGTCTGCATGAGTGGGGTACAAGATCTACTGTGCACTTGTGTGCTGTGGACTAACTGGCCCATAAGGACCTGCTGGCACCACGGAGAGTTCCCTAGTGTGCGTCACCGTAGCCCGCACACGCCTGTTAGTGCTCAACACACTGGAATGTAGCCCTCCGCCCCCAGTGCAGACTAATGCACCATGCAGATGAGGTCTAAGCAGGAAGGCTCCTTTGTACGTCATTACTTTGACCGTGCAAGTGTTGGAGCTAACGATGGGGGTGCGAGGCCCTAAGGCAGGTTGCAACATCCAGCATAGAGACTTGTTCCAGAGCCACCTTTGCGAATAGCTGGAGATTGCGACATGCTCCTCTTCCTACTTCTCAGCCACTAGTCAGCCAGGGCAAGTTGCGGTACTCCTGCTACACCAGTGTGTGTGTCCGTTCTGAGCTCAGTAATCTCTTCTCCGGGTTGGTTCCATGTAGCCCTGTCCACACTGGGCAGGGCTTGGTCATGCCTGCGGTGACTAATCATACAGGGAGGAGCTGTGTCTCCCTGTCAGGCCTAAGGACAAGATCCAATACCTCCTAAATGGAGCCCTTATTTCCACCACCTTCCAGGATGTTTACAGGGGGACATTTACCAGGCTGGATGTGATTACAGTGCAGAACACACCGAAGTCTACTTTGAAATAACCCTGTTTTTGTACCTTCCACCCCTCCCCCCCACAACTAGGAGGCGGAGGAGTTTGCAAAGAGCAGAAGCTTAATCTACATGGAAACGTCGGCAAAATCCAACCACCACGTGACCGAAGTCTTTATGGCCGTAGGTAAGTTCCAAGTGAGAAGCTGCTGTACAGGTAACAGCATGAGAGAGATGCTGAGGTCTGTGCCAGCTCTTTGCCTTCTGAGCCATAGCACAGCACTGCTTATCTCCTCCCAGTTGCTCCGGGGCAATTAGGGTTGAGTCACTTGACCTGAGGAGGTCCAGGAACTGGAAATGCAGTTTGTGCATTGCCTCTAGGCATAGACAAGAGGGGACTGGGTACACTCTGGCCTGTCGAGCCTGACAGCTGCCAACAGCGAGTGGGACAGACCCAGAGCAGCTGCTTCCCCATTCCAAACACAGACAGGCTGCCCCCCCTGTTGCGCCCAACTTCTGAGACAAGCAAACTTCTGGAGTGGTTCTGCTTTTGCTGGCGGGGTGAGGGTGGAACCTGCTGAACGTGGGGGAGGTTCCCCCACCCAACCACCCTTGGGAACACCATCATTGGCCCTAGCAGTGGGAAGGTGGGAATTTCTCCCCACCCGCCAGATTCCTCACTGCTACTCCAAGAGGATCTCTTCTCTCCGAGACCCATTCCCCTTGGCTCCAGTTATGATCCCCAAACAAAACAAGCCCATGTTTCTTTCATCCCTCAGGACAGAGATCAGAGGCCTCACCCAGGCAGGAAAACAAGATCCCTGGATCCTTCTTCCTTAGGATCCTTCTTCCTTAGCCGTCCAACTGTTTAGGACCGTGGCTCTCAACCTTTCCAGACCACTGTACCCCTTTTCAGGAGACTGATTTGTCTTGTGTACCCCCAAGTTTCTCCTCACTTAAAAACTACTTGCTTACAAAATCAGACACACATACAGAAGTGTTGCAGCTCCCTATTACTGAAAAATTGCTTACTTTCTCATTTTTACCATAATCAATTAGAATATAAATATTGTACTAACACTTCAGTGTGTAGTACACAGAGCAGCATAAACAAGTCATTGTTTGTGTGACATTTTAGTTTGTACTGACTTAGCTACTGCTTTTTAATGTAGCTTGTTGTAAAACTAAGTAAATATCTAGATGAGGTGATGTATCCCCTGGAAGACCTCTGCGTACCCCTGGTTGAGAACCACTGGGCTAGGAAACGGAGCCAGAGGCTCAGCTAGACCCTGGTGCAGAGAGTCTTTGAGGTTTCTTCTTAGGACAAGCACATCCAGCCCCGTCCCAAGAACCAGTTATGCCCAGAGATAATCCCAAGTTGTCAGTCCTCCCTTCACACGAATGTCTGACCACTGCCAAGCCACCAACAACGCTGGTTTCATGGGAGGCTAACCAGAGCCAGCGGTTTGTAGACTCTTCTGGCGAGCCGTTTCTTCCCCACATGCAGGCCTGGAACCCTGGAGCTCTGTCCCACCTATCCTACTTAGCCTCCTGGGCCTCCGATGCATTGCTTACCCCAGAGATGTTAGCCAGATGACCCGGTTTTACCATATAGGGATTCAGACATGGGATATGCCTCCAGCTTGACCCTGCACTAGTGCGCATATGGCAAACGGCTTTACCTTGGCAGCCAGTGAGATGGCACTAGGGTCTGCTCATGTTTGTTCCTGTTAATGAGACCGTTCGGAGAAAGCTCTAGAATAACAGGGTACGACAGCGACAACAGATTCCACCTTCAACGTATCATGAACCAATAATAAGCATTTACTACCCAATAGATATTCTTGCTCCTTAAGAATGCCAGCAGTTTGATAGTGGCAATTCATGAGACTCCTAGCACCCATCTTATGCCAATTTCAAGTGAGGGGCTCCTACTTCTAGTTCCTTTTTAAAAGAATTTCACTAAAGCTTATAGAGATGTGATTTGCACATCATCACCATTCTATTTTATCATGGGATTTCCTACAGACAACTTGGTGCAATACAACATTTGCTGTACCATGATGTTTTTAGGGGTATGTCCATGATGCAGGTGCAAGGGAATCTGTAGATGTTCTAGGGCGGGGAATGAAGAGGAGTATGGGAGAGTCCTGAGGGAGGGACCATTTTCCAGAAAGAACGAAGGAGCATGAGGAAAATTGTGAATGGGAGTTTGTTAAATAGTAAGTGCAGGAGCCAAGAACCATGTGGGTTTCAAGGTAAAAAAAATAGGAAGTTAAAATGTAAACTTAACTTAAATCCATCAATGTTATAAATAAGAACATAAGGACGGCCAGACTGGGTCAGATCAAAGGTCCATCTAGCTCAGTATCCTGTCTGCCGACAGTGGCCACTGCCAGGTGTCCCAGAAGGAATGAACAGAACAGATCATCATCAAGTGATCTATCCCCTGTTGCTCATATTTAGATATTTTAAATCTTAATAAATTTAAAGGGACAGATCCCCAGGCCTAGCCAAATAGCACATGAGGGAAGGAGAAAGTGGCTTTAAGCCTCCTTTTCCTTTCTCTATTGCTTATCGTGGGTCAGTCCTTGGCATAAATTGAAACAGCCCTGGGGCTGCTCTAAGTTTCACCACCAGGAACCGTTCTGCTGGTTGGGGATTGGGGTGCTCTGGCCACACCCCAGTCCACTGCTGATGGGAGGGGGACACAGCAGAGGAACCTTAGCAGCTGGAAAGTTGTCCTAACAAAGTCAGAGCAGGGTCTGAGGATGTAGCACAAAATGTTACAATAGCTCAGCAGAGAAGGACCGAGAATTTCTTATTCTGAGTTTCTTCACAGCTCACAAGCTATTGAAACAGGAACAACAGAAGGAATCAGCCCTTCAGCATCAGCCCTGGAAGAAGTCACGTGTGGATCTGCGAGAGCCAAGCAATCAGACTAAGAAGTGTTGCATGAACTAAAGGAAATGGCAGACTGACCTAGGTTTACCATCAAATGCGTTTTTATTGTGGGGGAGGGAAGGAATGCTGGCCCTATGTATTGTGTGAAGTGCTGTTTTTGCCAAGGCAGCATGGTTCTCGGGGCAGCTTGTGTGTCACTGTGATTATTGCTTTTTAAAAAAATTATTATTGTCAGTGTTCGATTGAAGAATTGTACGAGAGGAGATATTGCCGAGTGCAAGGGACCTGAAAAGCCCTGCAAATCTCCTCTCGCTTGTGTTTGTTCAGTGTTATCATTATACAAGAATACATTGTAAAGTATCTTCACAAATAAAAACAGCAAAAAGGAGGAGTAGTTTCTCTCCCCCCCCACCTTTGCAAATTCTATAAAACTTTTACAGAAGCTGTTAACGTTAAGGTCACCCAGTCATTAAATGCAAGACATGGAATAGCCAGAATATGCAGATCAAGTTTAATATTGCTGTAAGAACTCATGATTTTCATAGAATCATAGAAGATCAGGGGTGGAAGGGACCTCCAGAGGTCATCTAGTCCAACCCCCTGCTCAATTCAGGACCAATCCCCAACTAAATCATCCCAGCCAGGGCTTTGTCAAGCTGGGCCTTAAAAACCTCAAAGGAAGGAGATTCCACCACCTCCCTAGGTAACCCATTCCAGTGTTTCACCACCCTCCTAGTGAAAAAGTTTTTCCTAATATTCAGTCTAAACCTCCCCCACTGCAACTTGAGACCATTACTCCTTGTTCTGTCATCTGCTACCACTGAGAACAGTCTAGATCCATCCTCTTTGGAACCCCCTTTCAGGTAGTTGAAAGCAGCTATCAAATCCCCCCTCATTCTTCTCTTCTGCAGACTAAACAATCCCAGCTCCCTCAGCCTCTCCTCATAAGTCATGTGTTCCAGTCCCCTAATCATTTTTGTTGCCCTCTGCTGGACGCTTTCCAGTTTTTCCACATCCTTCTTGTAGTGTGGGGCCCAAAACTGGACACAGTACTCCAGATGAGGCCTCACCAATGTCGAATAGAGGGGAACAATCACGTCCCTCGATCTGCTGCAATATCCCTACTTATACAGTCCAAAATGCTGTCATGAGTCTTGTGATTTTTGGGACGTTTCTTAAAGTCCCAGCTGCTGGAGTCAAACGATCACTTGAGAAACTTTAAAAAAAAAACAACTCCAAAGCTAACACTTTCTGGCCCTCATGGTTGTGGAGAAAACTGAGAACATGAAACAAGCACACCCTGAAGGTCCAGAAACCAGACTGTAAATAAGGAGACCCTAAACATTATTTAAAATCTCATGAATTTTTTGGGGAGAGGTGAGGGCTGGTTTGTCATTTGGGTACCCGGGATTGGCAATACTGCAGTAGTATAGATTTAATCAAGAAATAAATCGGGGCCCGATTCTCCCCAAACTTACACAATTGCAACACGAAAGCGAGTGGAGTTACACTGGAGTAAGTGAGAGAATCAGACCGTCTGACTTAGGCCAGGTCCACACTAGAAACTGCAGCTGTCACAGTAATGCTGCATCTACACAAGAAGCGCTTGCCAGGATGCTACCCCAGCAAACTTTTTCTGTTGTAGACTAGGCGATAATCAAGATTTGTCTTCCACTTGTCCGCTAAGCAGTTTACTAACCTATCTAACCTTGTGAATTTCAACACCCTTATTTGTGAACTGATCACAGATGCCTCAATGCTAAGAGCGTGTCAAGAGTCAAAGATCATCTACTTGTGAATTGGCCCTCTGAAGAGAGGCAGTAGTTTTAATGTGGGGGGCAGGGATGCCAAGTGGATTCTCTTATGTCTGAGGAGCACAAAACAGCTGAAGGGACTTTGCTCAGGTTTACTGAATTTTTTTCCTCAGTTCCAGTGGAGACCAAGCACGGAAACTTTGATCTGAAAAGGCACGGAATCAGGAGCTTGTGAAAACGGACTTTAACTGAAGCTATTTTACCCCCTGAACTACAGAATTGACATTGAAGCCAACGCTGCAAGATAAAGCCAGTATGAGACGCACTGTTGGTAGGAGTACGGCACCTGCATTGAGAAAACACCCCTGGAAGGGATCACAGCTGAGGGTCGACAGGGCATTTGCTATAACCCTTGCTCAAGACTCAGTGCAAAGGTTCAATAAAAAGTAACAACACATTTGGAAAGTGCAGTGGCTCATTTCACTGCAGCTGCAGCAGACACCAGCCAGTCTCTGCTATTTTAGGAGGGTGAAGCCATCCTCTTGTGCACATACGCTTACAACACGTCATATGATCTCACCTCTAGACTCATCCTGTTGCTTATATACATAGTCCCACACCAGACAGACTCATCCTGGGGGAACCTTCATAGAGTTCCATGGCTGACGTGTGCCACATTTACTAGGTTCAGCCCCAGCTGAGTCACTTTGCTTCCAGGGTGGTGGGTGTCCTACAATTAGTTCCTGACAAAAGGTGCTGCATCTTGCAGCTGGGTTTAAGCTTCATTACTTTGCAAAGGTGTCAATTGTATACGAGCTTCTCTTCTACACGGAGAGCAGGGAAAACTTTCCAGCTTGCTTCCCTATGTCAGGGTGTAATGAATTCAGAGGCCCCCACTGGCATCTGTTGAGATACAGCAAGGTGGGCCACCTTGCTATTAGCATCAGACATAAACTCGAGTACTACAGAAAGTGCTCTTTGCTCTTTGCACCACATGGAGAAAGGAGAACCTCCCATGTCACCTGTGTTGAGGCCAGGGCAGCTACGAGCAGTGTGCAGGTTTGGTCCTGGATGTGTCTGTTCATTTTATTTGAGCAGCACAACCAGGCATGTCTGGAGCCCCCATCCCACTGGTGACAGGTATCAGAGTGGCAGCCGTGTTAGTCTGTATCGGCAAAGAGAATGAGGAGGACTTGTGGCACCTTAGAGACTAACCAATTTATTTGAGCATCAGCTTTTGTGGGCTAAAACCCACTTCATCGGATCATGCAGTGGAAAATACAGTAGGAAGATATATACACAGAGAACACGAAAAATGCGTGTTGCCATACCCACTATAACGAGAGTGATCAGTTAAGGTGAGCTATTATCAGGAGGAGAAAAAAAAACCTTTTGTAGTGATAATCAGGATGGCCCATTTCCAGCAGATGACGAGAAGGTGTGAGTCACAGTAGGGGAAAAATAAACATGGGGAAATAGTTTTACTTTGTGTAATGACCCATCCACTCCCAGTCTTTATTCAAGCCTAAGTTAATGGTGTCCAGTTTTCAAATTAATTCCAATTCTGCAGTTTCTCATTGGAGTCTGTTTTTGAAGTTTTTCTTGTTGAAGAATTGCCACTTTTAGGTCTGTAATCGAGTGACCAAAGAGATTGAACTGTTCTCCGACTGGTTTTTGAATGTTATAATTCTTGACGTCTGATTTGTGTCCATTTATTCTTTTACGTAGAGACTGTCCAGTTTGGCCAATGTACATGGCAGAGGGGCATTGCTGGCACATGATGGCATATATCACATTGGTAGATGTGCAGGTGAACGAGCTTCTGATAGTGTGGCTGATGTGATTAGGCCCTATGATGGTGTCCCCTGAATAGATACGTGGACACAGCTGGCAACGGGCTTTGTTGCAAGGATAGGTTCCTGGGTTAGTGGTTCTGTTGTGCGGTGTGTGGTTGCTGATGAGTATTTGCTTCAGGTTGGGGGGCTGTCTGTAAGCGAGGACTGGCCTGTCTCCCAAGATCTGTGAGAGTGATGGGTCGTCCTTCAGGATAGGTTGTAGATCCTTGATGATGCGTTGGAGAGGTTTTAGTTGGGGGCTGAAGGTGACGGCTAGTGGCGTTCTGTTACTTTCTTTGTTGGGCCTGTCCTGTAGTAGGTGACTTCTGGGTACTCTTCTGGCTCTGTCAGTCTGTTTCTCCGCTTCAGCAGGTGGGTATTGTAGTTGTAAGAATGCTTGATAGAGATCTTGTAGGTGTTTGTCTGTGTCTGAGGGGTTGGAGCAAATACGGTTCTATCTTAGAGCCTGGCTGTAGATAACGGATCGTGTGGTGTGCCCTGGATGGAAGCTGGAGGCATGTAAGTAAGTATAGCGGTCAGTAGGTTTCCGGTATAGGGTGGTGTTTATGTGACCATTGCTTGTTAGCAATGTAGTGTCCAGGAAGTGGATCTCTTGTGTGGACTGGACCAGGCTGAGGTTGATGGTGGGATGGAAATTGTTGAAATCATGGTGGAATTCCTCAAGGGCCTCTTTTCCATGGGTCCAGATGAGGAAGATGTCACCAATGTAGTGCAAGTAGAGTAGGGGCACTAGAGGAAGTGTTGTTCTAAGTCAGCCATAAAAATGTTGGCATACTGTGGGGCCATGTGGGTACCACAAGAAGCAAGGGGATATCTGTTTCGATGGTGGGCTAAGCATGCTGCTCTCTTCCCCTCCTGCTTGGATGGCATATTAGCGCTGCCCCCGCCCTGCAGTGGGTTTTGTTGTGAATACACATTTAGAGGCATGGGGCAGTTGACACCTCTCAGGGTGATTGTTTCTGGCCATCTGCTGGCTCGAGCCAGGTCTATACTATGGTCTTCTACCAGCATGGCTGGATCAGGGGAGTGACCCCTGTGTAACACACCTGTGCGTGCACCAAGCCTGGAGTGCCAATACACCGCAGAACTGCACTTTTACTGGGACGGCTTGTTTCCCCTGTAGTGGTGGGGAGAGTCTGGAATAATCCATGTGGACAAAGCCTTCCAAGGGCAGGCCAGACCCCAGGCAGACATCGTCACATTGGTTAGTCTCAGTTCACATTTTCCACCCACTCCCCTGCAGCCAAGAGGGTCAGAAGTGGGGACCCCGGGAGCTGAAACCTTGGGCTTGGGTCTATAGTTTGCCTGTGCACTGATCTGGCTCTGGAAAGTGAATCAGCCCTCCCTCCAGCATAGATCTGTCAGGCAGAATCCATCATCAATATCCCAGGCAGCTCAAAAACAAATGGGAATGTAGTGGGTTATCTGAGAGGCTCCTCAGGAGATAGGCCACCCTCTAGCAGGAGCAGATCACTGGCTGGGCTCCAGAACAGTCAGAGAATCCAGGTGCTTGTCTAAGAGGCTTTCCTCTTAGGAACTCCTAGGCTACTTCCTCTTCCTGCTTAAATACCTGCCCTGTTAAGCCCAGGTGGAAGCTGTCTGCCTGTTATTGGCAGGCTGAACGGGGCCTGGCTCCCTTTGCAGAAAATTAACCCTTTTCCTATCTGATTGAATGTGGGGCACATTCACCCCACCACCGGCACACCACTGCAGAGTGCAGCGGGGCATAAGCCTTCTCAGACCCTGTGCTTTCGTTCCATTTGCTTCATGCCCAACAGCGTCACCGTGTGCAAGGCTGTCTGTCGCTTTTGGAGGCGGAGAATCCCCCCCCCTCCCCCGCTTCAGTGGAGAGACTCTGAATTACACCGGGTGGAGACAGGAGAATCGGGCCCCTAATCTGCCCTTATGCCCCAGGTAATCCTAGTAAACTCAGTGCAATTGCATGGGGGTGCAACAGGGCAGAACTGGGCCCGGAGTCCTTGCCTTTCCTTTCCACGGCCTGGCCTGGCACTGTTCATTAGGTCATAGTTGCTGCTTTCCCTAGCCGTAGCTGTTCCTGCTGCAGGAGCTCAGGGCTGTTGGGCTTTCTCCCCGGGCTGCGTGGTGGGGCTTTCCATGGTCATTAGAAGCAGAGGCCTGTGGGACAGCTATCAGCACCCAAGTTGCTCCCCCCTCCTACCTGCTTCACCCAGAGGATGGAGCAGCCTGATTTCTTTACACTTTTGTTAGCCCGCGGGAGGTTTGAAAGAGGTGTCACATGGTGTGTGCTCTTGGTGGGGGGAGGAGCCCTCACGGATGGAAACTCTTCCAGGCCAGTCCCACCAGCCCCCGGGCCAACGGGAGCTAGTACTGAGCCCTGCCCGTCGAGCAGTGCCTCCAGACCCAGCTCCAGGAGTGGCTCCCAAGGTCTTTGGCAGCCCTATAGTTCTGATAGCGTGGCCAAATTGCTAATGTCTGAAAAGTGGACCACCTGCCCTGCCTCTTTCCTGAGGCCCCGCCCCTGCCCGGCCTCTTCCTCAAGGCCCCGCCCCCTGCTCCCTCCTCTGCCCCCCATTCGCCTGTCGCTCACTGTTCTCCCCTTTCAACTTCAGCACGAGCAGCCCTAGGGGACTTGAAAGCCCCGCTCCAGCAGGCTGGCTGGGAGTGCAGGTCAGAAGAGCGCTGCGGCCACACGGGAGCAGCCAGGCAGCCCCGCTGGGGAGCTAGGACGCGGCCCTCCTGCACGCCAGCCTCCTGCCTCCCTCTGCGCTGCCTGCCCAGAAGCCTCCTTCCTCGCCCGCTCGCACCCTCCCCGCCCTGGAGCCGCCTGAGAGCTCGGCCAGGGGAAGCGCCGACTGCCAGGGCAGCTCGAGTTCCTTCCCTCCCGGGGAACGTTCTATGCCTGCTGAGAGCCCTTACCCCACTCGCCGTGGGTCCCCCACTCTGTCTTCTGCCCCAGCCCTGCAAGCCAGGCTCTGCAAAGGGGCCGCCTGCGGCCCGAGCTGATGCGCGCGTGCTGCCGAGGGAGCCGCCACTTCAGGGCCGGGCAACAGGCTGCCACTCCCCCCCCTGCCTGCCGTAACCAGCCTTTTAGTGTCCGGTCAGTACTGACCGGACTCTGCCAGGTTCCCTTTTCGACTGGGCTTTCCGGTCAAAAACCGGGCACCTGGCCACCCTAATTTCTGATTCTGTGCTAACGGCTGCTTATTGTTCCCACTGCCAAAGGTGGCGTGCGGCTTGAATCCCCCTTTTCCAGAGGCACTTGTAGCCCCACTGAAGCCAATGGTGCGATGCTGGCCTACTTCACAGTGTTTCTCAAGTAATGTAGTGCAGTGCAACACTCCGTGCTGACTGCCGGTGGGCCGCAGATGGCGGGATAGCAGCGGGGCGCTCAGCCCAGCCAGCTCAGTGTGTGCAGCAGCCGAGCGTTGTTTAAAAGGCGAGCAGGAACATTGTACGTGGCACTTTGGTGTAAGTGGGAACTAAGGCCAACATGGATTCAGCATCTTCTAGATTTTAAAGCCAGAAGGGCCCATTAGATCATCTAGTCTGATCTGACTAAGAGAGGCAAATCTGATGCAGAGCAGCATGGCTGGCCCGCAGTGAGTGACTAACAGAGGTGGGAATTAGAGCCGCCACCTCAGGCCTTGGCAGAGCGGTAAGTGTTTGTTGTCCTAGGCTGTGGGTGGAACTGCACAGATGCACAATGGCAAAATGTCGGCCATCTGGACTGCTGCACAGCCAGCTGTGTGGGGCCTGCTGAAATGGTCCTCTTCATTCGCCAGTGTATTACTCCTGCTGGCACGACACATTGGTCAGGGGAGTAGGACCAGTTATGATGCCACCTGTTTTTCAGATGGAGTCAGAATTCCAACTAAAAAGCTGGCTCCTTTGCCCGGTGATCACATCAAAAAACTTTATTGTGTGGAAGAGAAATTGTTCAGGAAAAGACTGAATGCATCCGATGAAGTGAGCTATAGCTCACAAAAGCTTATGCTCAAATAAATTGGTTAGTCTCTAAGGTGCCACAAGTCCTCCTTTTCTTTTTCAGGAAAAGAGACACAATCTCGGCGGAAAGTGATGCCACTCGGTTCTAAAGACCCTACTGCCCAAGAGAGCTGCGACAAGTCTGATTCATTTAAAGTCACATCAGACGTGCAGGGCTCGGTTTCTTGATTTTTTTTTTTATTATTTTGGTTTGTATAAAAGAGCCCATGCTCTAGGAAGAGAATTAACATGGGAATTTGTATTTCTTTCCCCCAGCAATTTTCTGGTGTAAATCATCTTAGACTGAGAGCAAAAGCCAGAAATGGGGGACAAATGGGGAACAGGGGAGAGAAAAAGAAAAAACAGACAAGAGGGAAATTGTCTGCAAAAATACTGGAGTTATCAACTGCTCTTTGGTTTCTTTACTTTATAGCCACAAAGATACATTGAAATGAGACCAAACATTTTCATTTGCCTAGAAGAGAGGCTGGGATGTGGAAGGAAGAGAGGAGAAGGGTCTTTTCTTATCATCACTCAAATTCATTCTTTGTCTTAGCCATTTCATTCATCTTGAATGGATTCACTGCTTTCTTCTAGAGGGAAGCAAGCTTGCCTGTGTCCATAGCCCGACTTCCGGGAGCTCTCCACGACTGCTCTCCTCCGGCCAAACCGTCCCACGGGTCTGATCCCACGCCCCGTGTACCAGGAAGGGTCGATATCAGGGTCTAGAAGGCAAAGGCCAGGAAGTATTTAGAACATGAGGCCGAGGAATATTTCTCCTGAGCATGTGTCACAGCCACCTTCTTGGGATTGTGAAGCAGGGACTTCCAGAGCTAAAAGCATGGGCTGGTCTAGCTGGAGTTAAAGCTCCATAGCTATGGGCTGTGATAGAATCATAGAACATCAGGGTTGGAAGGGACCTCAGGAGGTCATCTAGTTCAACCCCCCTGCTCAAAGCAGGACCAATCCCCAATTTTTTGCCCCAGATCCCTAAATGGACCCCTCAAGGATTGAACTCACAACCCTGGGTTTAGCAGGCCAATGAACAGTCCCTCATATCTTCTGTGGCTCAGGCCCAGACCTGTAACATACACTTGCCAGTGGGTTGTACCTACCTTGTCATTGCCTGTAGTGAGCAGGCGGTGTGGCCTTTGCTTATTTTAAAATGACAATGTCTTTTGCACAATAATGAAGGAGGGAAGGGGGTAGCTTTGCGGAGGAGGGACTGGGTGACTCAGGGCACTGGGAATGGGCCATGTAGCCTTTCAGCTTGGTGTCTCCAGTTGAAACCCTGCCCAGGTCAGTGTGTGGTGGTGAACCTGGCTCAACTTTTGAACCACCAATCCCCCAGGTTTACAGGTAGACCTGCATGTTTGGGAGATGGCCAGTGCTGAGGAAACAGTGTGAGCTCGTGCCCACCGCTCAGGTGTGGCCAGTGCCCCACGCTCATGGGCTTGCCTCACTGCAGAGTTAACTGGCGTTATAACACACGTGTTGCCTCAGCCCAGCTCCTCCCCAGACACACACAAGCCTGTCCCTTGAGCACCGCGGTGCTTTTCATTCATGTTGGCTGGTTGGCTGGTCTGGCAGGGGGTCCGGGCTGCAGCTCGAGTTAGCACAACCCAGCGGCTGCTAACACACCCCCTGTGCAGTGTGGCCACGGTGTCACTCGAGTCCCGGGTGCCCAGAAAGGCCTGACACGTTACCCTGCAATTCACTGTGAAAGACTCCTAGAGAGGCTCGAGCGATGCACCCCTGAGGTCTGGGTGCCCCCCGTGCATGAATGCAGCACCAGCGTGGACACAGCAGCTAGCCTGTTATTTGGCAGAGGGGCCGCACTCACTCGAGCTCGGCTCTCTCGCTCGCGGAGTCAGCTGAGCGTGAGTAGCGCGAGTTAACGCTGCGGTGAAGACGGCCCCAGTGGTGCGCGGTGGTGTTTCTGCAGATGTGGCATTTCTGGCCACCCCTGAGTCTTGGGCCGAGTCCTGTCACCGGGAACGTGACGCCGTCTGGTGGCATGTAGGAAATGAGTGTGATGTCACAGGTCAGGCCCATGGGCCTGATCCTGCGGGTGTTGAGCACCTATGGACGGTAATGGGAGTTGATGCAGCGTCAGCTCCCTAGCGGATAGCAGCGGTCACATCCCCAAAGCACCACAGTTAATGCCTTCCTTGGGACAGGCCCAGGAGTGCAACCAGTCAAGGGCAGTGGGGCTGAATTGCCTCCTCCCCACGCAGCAACCCTCTTCCCCTGTCTGGTTCCCATTGTGCCTGGCCTGTGGAGAAGCACAGGACTCGATTCTCCAGGGGCTGCCATCCAGCCCCTTTCACGGCCCCTGCTAAAAACCAACAGCAGGCACCCTGAGCCACGCAGCACAAACAGGGCCTTGCTGGGGTGACAGGAACCAAGGGTCACCTTCTCGGCTTGGAGCAGATCCTTTGAAATCAATGAGGCACCGCTGATTCATAGCCGCTGAGAATCTGGCCCATGTGCTTTGTTCTCTTGCTCTGCAATGACTCACTTGAGCACGTGGGCCCCAGTCATCCTGAGAGTGCCGACAGCATGGTGTGTCCCACCACAAGAGCACCAGGCAATTCCATTGGATCAAGCTAATTCAGGTTGGCTGGGGAGTCAGGAGAGCTGGGTTCTAATCCTGCCTGTGACCTTGAGAAAGTCACCGCCCCTGTGTCTTGTCTGTTTATATTGCAAACTCATTAGGGAAGGGCTGTCTGTTATTGCCAGGGGTGGGCCTGGTGCTTAGTTGGGTGCCTCAGCAGTGCTGCCGTAACGCACGTGATAGGAAGAGATTTTCTGGACAGGCTGATTAAAAGCTGCAAGTTTTTAAGTTCAGCTGTCTGGAAAGTTCCTTTAGCACTTTCCTGGCTCATTGAACCTGCAACGCGGCTGGGCCAGGAAACGCCGGCTGTTTCATTTTGTAGGCCTTGCTGGGGAGAACAGCCCGGGAGGAAGGGGGTTAAAAGCTGTAAAGATTTGTTTTAGAGTGTCTAAAGTCCACTGCTAATAAATCTAAAAGGACCGTTTTGAAGTCCAGCTCCTGGACTGAGCCAGAGCGGAGTGGCTGGGTGGGGGAGAATGGATTGGGTTGCAGAAGATGAGAGGGAAAATGCAGAGAGGCAGCAGGGGGAAGCTATGGGCATTTTGGAGGGACAAGAACAAAGCCTGGATAATAAAAGGACAGAAAGCTCAGCCATCTCACGCTGCAGCCTTGTAGCCTGGTCGTAACCTGTAATGTTGCACGTTCACAGGCAGAGGGCGCGACTACACAGAACTGAGCACACAGTGGCTAGCAATTATTACAGCCGTAACCTTTTCAAAAACTTTTGTTGCATTTGAACAACTTCATCTGTTTGGGGTCTGGTTGGGACAGGTCCTTACATGGGCGGGTGCATGTGTGCAAGGGGACCCTGCTTCTTCCATACAAGGACCACACCCAGCTGTGGTCAGTGTGCCCGGGGAGGTACAGGGATCCAATTATCGGGGAGAGGGCAATGATAATGGGCAGCATGGCCATTTGGGGCGGCTCTGCGCCAGTCTGCACCAGCTGCGGAGCTGGCCTGGCTGCTGCAGTTCCAGAGACTTACTCCTGATTTCCATGGATCGCTCATGGAGTCGGCATTCGACTTTGGGCAGGGTCAGACAGGTGAGCAGCAGGTACATGAAGCAGGCAGCCAGCAGTTTCATTCCCTTCAGCTCCCCCAAGGATTGTGGCTGGTGCCGGAATTTAGCAAGGTGTGAGCCCAGCCTGCAGAAACAGAGACCCGGAGAGTTAATCAGACGGTCCTCTTGGGTGGGGCTGGGGGTGGTGTGAGCGAATGAATCCACTCGCCTGAGAGACACCCACTGATGTCAGGACTATAACAGGAATTACAGCTGTTCCTGGAAAGAAAAGGAGTACTTGTGGCACCTTAGAGACTAACCAATTTATTTGAGCATAAGCTTTCGTGAGCTACAGCTCACTTCATCGGCTGCATACTGTGGAAAGTACACAAGATCTTTTTATACACACAAAGCATGAAAAAATGGGTGTTTACCACTATAAAAGGTTTTCTTTCCCCCCACCCCACTCTCCTGCTGGTAATAGCTTATCTAAAGTGATCACTCTCCTTACAATGTGTATGATAATCAAGTTGGGCCATTTCCAGCACAAATCCAGGTTCCCCCCCACCCACACACACACAGTGTGTCCGCGGAGGTACACTGGAGGGTCTGTTCCATGGAAATGCCAACGTTTTGAAATGGGTTTTTGTTCCAAATCGAACTGAAAAGCTGAAATTTCCCGCAAAATAAAAAGTTCCAAGATTTTTTAAAATTTGGAATCATCAAAATGTTTTGTTTAGTTAATGTCAAAACAATATACACTATTAAATCATCAATATTAAATACATTAAAATTAATAGTTTAATGTAAAAGCCAAAACTAAATGAATCAAAATGATGAGATAAAAAACGAAACACTTCAACATTATCGAAACGAAACAAGAAAGTCAAAATGGTTCATTTTGATTTTTTATGCATCGAAAATGTTGTCAGAATTGAGACATTCCCACAAAACAGCTGGACTTTGACAAAACAGCATTTTCCAACGGGAAAAAGGTTCCCCTGAAAGTGTTTTGACCAGCACCAGTGGGAATAGCTGCATGATCAGCATTGCCAGCCACACTTTAGTCATTCAAAAGTCATGAATCAGGTCCCCCTAAATCATGAGATCATGATCATAAGCTATATATAATTTATATTTATGTTTCTTTTTATTTGCCGGTCTGGTTTCTGAGCTGTTACCGTGAACTTGGGTTATATTTTCAAGCTTTTCCCCTTCAGCCAGTAGGGCGAATAACTATTTTTGATGAAAGCCAAGACTCTCCTGCGATCTCTGGATTCAAACACTGGGGCTTTAAGAAAAACGTGAAATCTTGCAAGTCCCACGATAAAAAAATCTTGAGAGTTGGCAACACTGTAAGCAGTGAGTGAATAGTTGCCTTTTTGGAGCTGTAACTAAACACGAGACCTATGAAACTACACACCGGTGTACACACGAGCACCTCCTCTGCGGGCATGTAACAGGCCTGGGTTCTAGAGTCTGGGGCTGAGCCAGCCCTGAGTACAAGAGGAGCCTCACCTGAGTGGATGCAGGTGATTTAATATAAGAGGCAGCAGGACGCGGCAGGTGTGTGGCTGGTTGAGAGGGAGGAAGGAGAAGGAGCAGAAGGGCAAGCAAGGGAGCCAGAGGGCTGAGAACTGACAGCTTTGGGTACAAGACTCTCTGGAGGCTGTAAGGGGCCCATAAGAGGGGGGCTGCTAGAGGTAAGACACTGCAGCGGCATGCCTGGCCAGAAGGGGGCGCTTGCACGGTAGCAACACTATAGGGCAGATAAGGACAGTGAAAGGGCGGCAGGCTGTACCACCAGAGAGCCACATGCACTGATGTCTTGAGCTGGTACCTGCATCTGTGACATGGGTCCAAGGAGCTGGCTGGGGTGGAGGCAGGCAGTGCGGGGTAAAGGGGAGCAGTGGGCAGGCCAGCATCGTCCCATCCATTTGCATTGCTCACGGCAGAGATGTAACACAGCCAGGGCTAATAAGTTTCTGTTGCCCATCCGTCCGTAAAGCCGCGGAGTAGCTGCTGGTTTTGGAAGGGCTGGCAGTGCAGCCACTGGGGAGAGCCATGGCATTTGCTCCCTCCATCAGAGGCATTTGTGGGAGTGAATGCCCTAGCCCTCAGAACCGCCACCCCAGGCCTCCTTCTCCTCAAGGCCTACTTGTGTGTCACGAAGCCCCCTGGGAAGTGACAACTGCTAATAGCTCAGTAATGGACAGTGGGGATCGCACTGAGTATTATGTGCATTTGTTTGCATCTCATAATTTATTTGAACTTATAAGAAGACTCAGACCCATCCACGGTGCATATTCATCAGTTGTGCACCCTTCGGTCACCTTATCTGTTGTTCCATTCCCTCATTCCCTCACATTGTTTTCTAGGCTTGCTCAATTGTTTTTGACTTTGTCTGGGCGTGTCTTGTTGTAAGTTGGGCCCTTACCCTACGAGCGGCTGTGTGTGACCAGAACCCTGCATCCCTGAGGAGCTGCGGCGAGTTCACCACGGCATTGCGTGGCCAGGGTCAGGACCTCAGACCGAGCTCCTCTGGGCATGGTCTGTCTTTTACTGGGTGTTTGCCACAAAGGGGCTGTGATTTGATTGAGTGCCATGGGCACATAAAGAATCCAAGACACCTCCCCTGAGCACAGCTAGAGTCATCTCAAGATCTTAAGGATCAAGGCACAACTCTCCCTCTCTGTCCATCTCCTGCTGTGCTACCTGGAAAAGCTTGAAGTCAGGGAACAACCGCAGCCAGTATACAGTCCTAAGCTCACTGTCAATTCCCAATGTGTGACTCAGACTTTAAGGCCAGAAGGGGCCATCACGATCATCTAGTCTGACCTCGTGCACATTGCAGGCCCCACAGGCTCATCCACCCAATTCCTGTAATATTTATGAAGCACCAACAAAGTGCTTTGCCTATAAATAAAATACTCCTGCCATCTTCCCCACCCCCTCCTCTGTTTATGTGTCTGCCCTCCTCTCTAGGAGCAAAGGACGAACTCCTGCCCCTCTGGTCGTGGTTATTGGAAGTGGGAACAAAATGGTTTCCCCATTCCATAAAAATATTTCAAGATTTTTTTAAATTTTCCCATCCTGACTCAGGATGAGAAGTCCAAAATCTCAAAAATTTCCTGAACTGAAAATTTGAAAAAAACAAAAAAACCCAAAAACCAGTTTGGGCCAATCAGAATGTTTCACTTTGATCATTTCAGAATGTTTTAGTTCAGTTTTGACCCTTAATTTTTGTAACGATCACTAGCTGAAATTTTGAAATGAAAAGTTGTTTAGGAATCAGAACTTTTCATTTTAAAAAATGTTAAAATGAAACATTTTGAACATTTTCAAATAAATGTCAAGTCAAGAAATTAATCAAAACTGACTCTTTCGCACGATAAATTTTGGTTTTTCACAAATCAGCATGTTCTGATGAAAACCACTGAGTAAAAAACAATTCCGACTAGCTCTGATTGCTATTTCTTTTTGTACAGTCCTTGGTGAATGACAATAAGACAATGTAAGAAAAGAATTGCTTTGAAACGCTTCCTGGTCTATTACTTCTGTTCACTGTTATTTTCTATCCAAGTTACTGACCTGCTTAAAACACTGAAGTGGTTCAGAAATAGACATATGTCTTCATCCTAGGAAATAAATGACCAAATAATCTGGCTGCATGAGGAGTCAATGCAAGTTTAAGTGTTCATTGTAACCTACAGTCTCAGTGGAAAGTCCTAATACCTTGTTAATTCTTTCCCTATCACGTTAGAGAGGGCATTTTGGAAGCCATTTCTTATTGATGTTAATAAAAAGGAAACTCGGGCTCTGGGGGCGGGAAGGCAGGTTGTCATTTAATGAAGCAATGGTTAGAAAAATATAGGGAAAAAAGTAGCGGATCCAAGATATGGCCCAATGAGCACACTGGCATGAATAAGGCAAGCAGAACTTGAAGCTGGGTGGCGTAGTGGTGAGACCATTGGGCTAGGGCACAGAACGGGTCAATTTCTGTTTTTGGTTCTATCACTGACCCTTGCCAGTCCCTTACTCTCTTTAGTCCTTACTTTCCTGTCTGTAAAATAGGCATAACAATACTTCATGATGTCATGTTCTGAGTCTTAATGAATGTTTGTTAAGCACGTTGAGATCCTTGGACGATGGGAGGTGCTGTATACCGGCAAACTATGGGCTTGGCTACACTTGTGAGTTAGAGCGCATTAAAGGAGCCCCGGATGCCCTAGCTCACTACCCGTCCACACTGGCAAGGCACGTAGAGCGCTCTGACTCCGCAGCTAGGGCGCTTCTGGTACTCCACCTCTGTGAGACGATTAACGCTTTTTGCGCCTTGGCTGAAACACCCGGGCGTCAGTGTGAACGAGGTGTTGCACTACTGCACTCTGATCAGCCTCCGGAAATGTCCCATAATCCCCTTAAGTCAAGTGGCCACTCTTGTCATTTTTTTGAACTCGCTGTAGGAATGCGGATACGCCCTTTCAAAGCTCCGTTTCTGACAGCCGGCTGCTTATCTGCTCCGAGACAAAGCAACCATTAGTGTGGAATGCTGTGTGTGTGAGAGAGAGGCAGGGGGGTCTGCTGCTGTCTGAACTTACAAGACAGCATGCTGACATGTTCTCAGCCCCCCAAACCCACTCTCTCTCCCCCCACATTCACACAACACACTCCCTGTCACACCCCCCCACCCCTCCATTTGAAAAGCACAGTGCAGTCACTTGCATGCTGGGATAGCGACCACAATGCACTGCTCTCTGTGGCCATTGCAAGAGCTGCTAATGTGGCCACGCCAGTGTGCTTGTTCCTGTCAGTGTGGACAGACTGCAGCGCTTTCCCTACTGAGTTAAACCAGCCTTCGGAGAGCACAAAGCTCTCTACATCTGCAAGTGTAGCCATGCCCTTTTGTTCTGAACTATGCTATTAAATCCATGTAAATGGATACCATTAAGGTGTTCTGTGAGGACGGCTACCTGTTGAAAGCTGTGCATGGGGAAGGAGCCATGCAGTTCCCAGCAACACCAAAGACAACTGTCAGACTGACTCTTCCTGCACCCCTACATCTGACACAGGGCCTAGCCCAAAGCCCAGTGGGAGTCTTTCCATTGATGTCAGCAGACTTTGGTTCAGGCCCTTAGTGGGCACCCTAAGAATGGTTTCAGGTGCCTTAGTAAAGGGCTAGAAGTATTAACCCTTTCAGTACCTTTTGGTATGGGAGGCCAGAATCGCCAGTACATTCCTGTTGTTTTGTGCTGCAAAGCAGCCGAAAGCCTGTTTAAATGGCCAGCGAAACAGACTTACAGATGCTTCAGTGATACAAAGCAGATGGAGCTTACAGGGGAAACTGGCCACAGTGTCTGTCTGCAGAGAAGGTACATGTGTTGTCCTATGGATTTACAGGGCGTGGCTACATTGCACATCAAGCCCGGGCACTGACTCTGGTTTGAGCCCAAACCCCCTTCCATCTGCATACAAATCAGTCTGACTTGGGTCAGCAAGCACTGGGTCTTAGGATCCTGCTAGAGGGAGGTCAGAGCCTGTGACCTGCTGAGACCCAGGTCCAAGCCCGGTCACTTTGCAGTGTGAATGCAGCTCAAGCCACAAACCTGAATCAGAAACAAGGTCTGTGTAATGCACTCTGGACATGTTAGCATGGTTGTAAGACCCAGGTCCTGCAACTCTAAGCTTAGATTTACAACGCAGTGTAGACACTCAAGTGCGGGCTTGGTCACACCAAGTCCACAAGCCCAGGTCTATGACTGTCTATGATCGTGTTGTTAGGGGTGCTTATTCCTTCACCCGCTTACTTCCCTGGTCCTTCTCGCATGAACAGAGAGCAACAATACCCAAAGTCCAAAGGTGCAAACAATTCGATGTTTATTGGGGAGAACTTCCAGCAAGCATGATTCCAGTTTCCTTCCTTAGTGTTCCCCTTCACAGCTCTGACACCACAGAGCCTTACCTGTGTCCCTGTTCCCATTCCCCCTCTTAGCAAAACAGGATTCCAATTTCTCCACCCCCATTCCCTGTTCCCATTCCCCACCCCCTTACTTCCTGATTGACTGCAGACTATATAGTAAAACTCGAGTTCTGCTTAGCTATACCGTAACCAATTATTTTACTGAAATTTAACTAACCAATCCTAACATATTGTAACGTGATTATTTAACCAATTATATCCCACCACCTTAATTAGTTTACACGCAGCAAAACTAATTATACAGCAGACAGGAACAATCACAGAACCAGACAGAGATTATACAGACAAACAATAGGGAAATGGGGACTACAATGACAGAACAAATACAGAAATGAGGATTTCACATCCCAGCTATTGATAAGTGAGTTCTTGCCAGACAGGATGCTATCAAACTAAGTTTCCTTTTACATTTTCTAGGCACTTCCCTTTCTCTGGAGGCAATGGGCACTATCAGGACAGGATTGTAATCCTAACAGCCCAACAGCACCTTATTTCCATGTGACTAGTTTGGAATGTGAGGATGTGACCGTTCGCTTCCCAGCTTATGGCTGCCTCTGCTGCTTAGCCAAAGGCCTTGGCCTAAGAACAGGGCCTCAGACTGTCACAGTGAGAAAAGGCCTTATACAGTCAGACAGTGATATTGATTCTCTCTTTTGTACCTCTAGAACTAGCTAAGTGATAAGAATACAGCTAAATTCTTAGGGTCTAGGCCTTTACCGACAGGTCTGAATGTCTAGATCCTAACACATGTATCCCCTGTAGCACCAGTCTGGTGCCTTAGGACTTGTCTATGCTTGAAATGCTACAGCAGCACAGTTGTTGCACCGCTGTAGTGCTTTGGTGTAGACGGTACCTGTGCTGACAGGAGCGGTTCTCCCATTGGTGTAGTTAATCCACCTCCCTGAGAGGTGGTAGCTAGGTTGATGGTTCCAGCAACCTAGCACTGTCTCCACGGGACCTTAGGTCAGCTTAACTACACCATGGAAGGGTGTGAATTTTTCACACCCCTGAGCAACATGAGCTGGGTTGGTCGAATTTTCTAGTTTAGACTAGCCCTTAACTGCCACCTCCTTATTTCTCTGAATCACGAACCATTAATTCCTGTGAGCTGCAGGAACACCTCTTTGGGAGAGCAGGATCAGTCCCGTGACAGAGCCCTGACTCTCACACCTGTAACTGGCAGAGCCATCAGTGGATGCCGAGGCCTAGACTGGATTTACGTTTACTCCTATGCCTCCCACCACGGAGCTGGTGTGTGGTTTCAATTTCTTAGTGTGATTTACTCTGACCAAGACACACAGCCCTTCCCCTTGCCAGGAATCACCCTGAGATTCCCGGTAGAAACGAAGTGAATCTGTTTGGAAATTTCTTAACAGAAAGGCCAGCTGATTGCAGTTATAGTGCTACTAGCAGGCTGCTTAGTTTGAACCTGTTAGCAGCAAATATCCAATGGAAGGAAATGTGCTAATCTCTGTAGACCCTTCTGTCCATCCACACCTGTTCTTTCCCGCTGGGCTGTATTACCATTTATCGCCTCCTTTTTAGCTCTCATGGTTTCTCTCCTGCATGCGGTGATAATTGTGCATGAAGTTATGTACCCGCAGCTGTGTGCATTCAATTTTAAAATGTGGAATTCTGTGCTACATAGAACAGATGCATTCTGGCACTTTGGGAAAGATGGACTCTGAGCACTGAGGCTTCTTCGCATCCCTTATGGCACAATTTATACCGTGCTTCTTACGTTCTCGTTTAAAGCGATGGCATCCAGGCAGCCGAACATACCAGGCATGGGAGTCAAAACTCCTCACCAGTGCTTCTCTGGGCAACTGGCATGCTCTCACTGCATCGCCCTCACCAGTCACGTGGGGTCTGGCCATTTAAAAGACTGCTGCTGGAGCTGATGCAATATGAATGAGAGTTGGACCTGGCTGCAGGTTCTGCTGCATTTGTCCATTGCCCCATTTCGTACAAAGACAGACTTTTGGGCAGTCCACACCCCACGGCTGCAGGACGTGGCCCAGGGACACCAGTTAACGTGCCGCTGTTTAGGTGGTAACTGAGTATCAGTGGAAGAACAGCATTCCAGCCCAGCCCATTTCTAGTTTCTGCCTCTCCTGGGATGCTCAAGAGTCATATATTTGACCTCTCAGTAACAGTGATGCCACCTGTGGCTGTTATAGCTTGAGCAGAGTGCTCAGTTAAGTCAAACAGCAACCTCCCCCTGCAAAGTGCTAGACCTGAAAATCCAAGCCAGGCTCTGAAAATCAAAGGGCTTCTTACATCAGCAATAAATATTCTGCCATCAGGGCGTCCAGAGTTTGGCAATTCTGCCACTGATGCAACAGACAGAAGAGAATCCACCTTGCTCTTCCAGAGCTGGCTCAATCTGCAGTGGGAACTTCATGCAAAAACTGGGTCAGTGAAGGAAGCAGGTGTGACTTAAGACACACAGGGCACAGTTTTTAAAACTGAGTGCATGCAGCTGCGGGTGCGTAACATCGTGCACAATCATCAACCTTGCGGGTGATCACAAGATCCGAACCGAACACATTTTACTCTTTTCTAGCTTCCCCTTTTTTCCCCCCCATTGGGTTTTACGGGTTTCACAAGATGTTTCACGGGTCTTAAACAATGAGGTTAATATTGGAGTATAAATGCACAGGCTAGACGCTGAACACGTCCAGTGTGTTTTTCTTCTGCCACCTGGAATTCAGGAGCCAACTGAGCATATACAACCTACAAGGGACAAGAGGTATTGTTTAAGAAGTTCTTAGCGTCAGCTGCAGACTCATACAAAGTCAGTTTTACTTTGCAGGCCTTTCGAAAATTCTAAAGCGCTAAACTGAATCGACATAAAATACCTGTTTTGCCATGCAAAGCAACATTGTAGTAGTGGTCACAGGTCAGTAATGGGAAAACAGAATTAGGAGCCATTTGGATAGAAGCTCAAAGGCTCGGACTGTGTATGGACACTTGCCTTTCATTGCACGCTTTATGTACTTTCAGCAAAGAGTACTTTATGCGAAATACTGTTTGCTGAAAGTTTAAGCACTGCTCACATGGATGCATAGTACACAAACATTCATGTGCAGAAACACACACACTAAAAACGTCAAACATGCTAACAAGCACATTTCCACAGCACACAAAGGTCACTGCATGAAAACACCTAGCAGCATCCCCAAGACAACACATCACACAAGCAAACAATAAATGGATGGAAAAACCAGTGGATTCAATAAAGGTGCAGTTCAAACCCCTTCCAGTTTACCTCTGGCTTATTTTGCTCTCTCTCTGCTTTCACCAGGATGCCTTTGCCTCAGCTGTGTGTGTGTGGATGGCACACAGACCTGCTAAAGTACTTACTGTGTGTCAAGTCGGAGTTCTGGAGTGTGATGCTGCTTCCTTCCTCCAGTGATTGGACTCTGTGAGCCAAAGAGCCCCTGTTTGCCTGTTTTATGCCTTGCCTTAGTGCTGATGTCACAGAGGAATCCAGCCCTGGACAAAGCCAGGGCATTTTCACGTCAGCTCCCCTCCCCATAACCCATTATGTTAATTTTTATCAAATCAAGAAAGGGATTTTCATGACTTATGAGGGTGCTTATTTTATCTTGGGGTTTGAATATTTTCTTCATTTGGACAAATCAGATAGCCTGGAAATACGCTAATCTTTCCTCCATATATTCCATTATTTCCTGTGTAAGGAGTTGGACTGTTGGATCATATTAAAGAAGTTCTGTATTAAAATCACAAATGAGTTTGATTCTCCATAGTTTAAATTCCAAGGTATTACTAATTAAGAGGTCTCTTGGTTTTTGGTACTGTTTCTGTCCCTCTCTGTGTGAAACTTGCAAGCTGCTAATTGTGTTAGTATATTCTAAGACAGAGTCTGTTCTCAAAGCAATTCTTTGTAACAACAACTACTCACACAGAGAGAGACTCAAAGCAATACTCTGTAACAACAGAAACAGCACCCAGAGACTCCCCGCCCTTTTGTTGTATTCATCTTGCTTTGTTAACTATTGTGATTAAAATAGAGATAGAGGATGTATGTGGATGGATGCTTGGTGTGGATAACAACTGAATGATCAGGGAGGTGCCAGCCTAAGAATCCAGTGGCCATCGGCCAGTGTCCATCGGCTGGCGTCAAGTGGAAATAACCAGAGGACCCCCGGAGGGCAGACTGGAATCCACCCAACAGCCTCAAGGATGGGAGAACCAAAGAACAAGATAACATCTGGCAGCTCGGAGCCGTCAGGAATGTGCCATCTGCTGATTGATTCAGCAACAGCATGATGAAGCAATTCCCATAGACTGGCATAGGAAGAAATTCCTATAAAAATGGACTCTAGAAAGTGAAAACTTTGGGGGTCTGATTCTGCAAACCAACTTCCAGGAGCATCAGATGAGCATCTGACAAGGCCCTGCTCCCTCCTCATGTCCAGGCCACCTGGCCAGTGGCTTGGAATGAACAACTCTAAGGCTGGTAACTATGATAACAACCTTGCAGAACCTGTGTGTGTGTGTATGAATGAATGTGTGAATAAATATGAAATTGAATGGAATGTTATAGCTATAACTAACTGCTTACTATGATTCTTTCTGTATTCATAATAAACGTGGTATTTTGCCTTTTCTCCTTTAATAAGATCCTGCTGGTTTTTATTTTATTGGTATACCATTTTGGTGGAGAATTGCAAAAGGGGGAATATTGGTAAAAACCCTCAGTTATTGTAAATATTGGTGTGCACACCGCCAGCTCTATTGAGCTAGGCATTTCTATTAGGTTAACCAGACCTGCTGGCCTCCAAGAAGGCAGCAGGGAAAAACAGGTTAACCAGACCTGCTGGCCTCCGGGAAGGTAGCAGGGGAAAGTGTATAAATTAAGCTATGATTACAGAATCCAAGTCCTATTGTTCACTGAAGTATCAGGGGAACAAGAAGGCCTAAGCGCCAGGCAGTGCTGCTCGCTGGAACAAGAAGCAGCAGGATCAGAGAATCTAGGCTGTGTCACTCGCTGACCTGGGCCAGGTGTGACGAGGAAATTTGATAAGCTACTATTTCAGAATCTAGGCTGTGTCACTCACTGAGTAATACCAGGAGTGACAAAGAGATTGAAATACCTGTGTTAAGATGTTTAAAAGAAAACAGGGTAAGCCAGTACCAGAGGGAGGAATGGAGTCAGAAGGAACTCCAACCTCACATTTTGTTAAAGAAATTACACCTTTTAAACAAATCCTTCAAAAATGTGGGCACAGTCCTTGGACTAAACAAGCCCTAGCTGCTGTCTGCACTATTTCAGACCTAGAGGATAGTTTGGGTCAGTATGTCCTCATATCCAAACCTTCTAGTGCTGCCAAAAGAGATGCAGCCGCAATTTGGTTGTTGTGGGAGGCATGTAAGGATTCTTACCTCCGCTTGTCCTCATGTAAAGAGGAAAAGGCACAAATGGAAAAGGGAGCAGACAATTGGAAGGTGCTGGCTACAAATACCCAAAGCCAGCGGAAAATAGTGAAAGAGGCACTCCAGGAATGCAAAAAGAGAGAAAGGTTCCTGGCAGACCAAGCCAAAGCCTCTGAGAAAATTGAAAGAGAGAATCATGTGCTCCAAGGTATGGTAAAGAAATTAACCTTGAAGCAGGGCAGAGCACCTGCAAATCATAGTCGTTGTGTGTCACTAATTAAGAGTCTGAGACAAAATTGGGCTTTGCCTCTAAACAGGTAGCAGCCATTTCAGCAGGTGAAGGGGGAGAAGGTCCTATGTACGGCACCCCTAGGCAAAATTACAAAGAGAAAAGAGAGTGAAAAAGTTAACTCTGCAGAGGCTGAAGGGAATTAAGCAGCTAAACTTTGAGAAAATGTTAAAAAGAAAAAGTGTTAGAGGCAAATAATTCTTGGTTTCTTTGCAGCCATTCTGAAGGGAAAATGGGCCCTTTTGCAAAGGAATGTCTGTAAATTAGCCAGGCAAAAATAAACTATCTGATTAAAATCATTTGACTGGACAATTTAGTCAAATTAGCTAAAAGAACATAAGGGGGTTCTACTGGAACTTAACTGCCTCAAATGTATAAAGAGAATGTAAGATGTAAAAACAGAGCAGTGTGGAAGGGATGTTAAGGAAAAGAAAATGTGTATGTATCTATCTGTGTGTAAATATGTAAAGTTCTAAGGACCAATTGGTTTTGTTTTTGTTTTAAATAATGACACTAAAATCCATTTGACTCTTTAATTAAGTTGCAAAACTGACAGACCTTTTTGCTAGACACAGGTAATTAGTGTTGTTTGGGTTTGGGATTTGGCATTTAACCCTTAAAAGGTAACTCAATGCTTTACAAAATTTAAAATGTTTTTAAGTTGTGGCTGCAGCAGGGCAGTCAAAATCAGGAGAATAGAAAAAAAAATTCTGGATTCTTTTTGTTTGCTTGTTTGTTCGTTTTTGTAACAAAATAGCAGATGAGAGCTGTAGGAAAAAAAATAGGAAATTTAAAAAGATGGTGCCCCTCTGAAGCAACAGCAGGGGTGAGGTGCACAAAACAAAAAGAAGCAATGTTAGAAACACTGAGTCTTAAAATGGCTCTGAGTAATCAGACTGTCACTTTGATAAAGGTACATGGAAAAATCTGTAAGCAAAAAAAGACACCTTATGTAAAACTGGATATGGATAATGTTATAGAAGTTAAACTATGGAAGGAATGTGCATTTGCCCCAGAACATGTGCAGGGCATATTGTAGAAGGGGCAAAAGAAATGCAAACATGCCATGCTACTTAATTAAAATGCTATTAGGGCTCCAAAGGGAGCCACAATAGGTTGGGTTTTCTTTTTCAGATTGCTGTGTGTTTTGGAAGCAGAAGTTAAAAAAGTGATCAAAACTCTGGTGAAAGTTGATTGTGTCCCTTTTAAGATAGAGTCTCTGAGCTGCTGATGGCTTTAAATCCAAAAGCAGGAAGCGTCTGTGAAAATGCAAATGACCTAAATGATAAAGGAAGGAAAGAACTAGTGGCACAAAGGAGCTGCAGATAAAGGACACACCTGGTCAGCAAACAAATTTGTCTAAATAAAAGGCATGGGATAACAAGATAATTTTAATAAATGTAATGATAATAAGTACCCCTGTAACAATGTATAGTGGGTATGATTTTTGGAAAAATCATTTAAGGTCATATGGTAATGATGCTTCTCAGCTATTACCTGCAAATAAACTTTAAAGCTTAACACAGCAGGAAAAACGTTATAAACTTGGTCTGCTGTATAAGAAGGAAAACTGAAGTACCCCACCTAATGGATTTAATGACTAAACAGTGGGATAATTTCCCCATAACCCTTAAAAGATAGAAGCCATTGAAACCTGGCCTGCCTATAGAACAAAAACAGCAAAATGTGGGGGAAATTCCTCTGTTTTGCCTGCAATCAGCAAGGGTATTTGTAAAAGAAATATTTTAAGCAATAATCTGCCACCCCAAAAAGGCATAAAGACATGTTCTTTTGTCTTTCAGAAAATCAGGAAAAGCTGATGCCATCTGAAGAGCAACCCAATACCATGAATCTACGGTCACAATAGAAATTGTAAAAAGAAAAGGAGTACTTGTGGCACCTTAGAGACTAACAAATTTATTTGAGCAGAAGCTTTCATGAGCTACAGCTTGTCTTGTCTTGTTGCTAGCACTGTTGTGTGTTTAAAAAAAATAAAATAAAAAGAATACTTCAGACCTGCAGGTAATTAAAAATAAATGAAGCTCTCTGTCCCAGCTACAGGACAGCCTGATACAAAAACAAGTACATGCCAATGTAGACTTGGTCCAAATTGGTCTGGGTAACCTAAAAGCCCGATGGAATCTTTGGCAATGGCTTAATACTACCACATGGCTTATGCATAAGAAAAAACTGCCCCCCCCAGTAGTTAGAGGGGTAATTCCCTACTCTCACCCAGTCTCTTACAAGTGTAAATATTATAGACAACAGAATAAGCATGTGAAAAAGTTGGTTGGCCAACCCTCTGTGCTAACAATCAATTATTCTACAAATGTTAAACCTGGGTGTGTTTGTATTCCTTAGTGCTATATAATGTCATTGTAACGCAGAGTTCCCAGCACTCTGATTACGGCTGTCTCAGGGCTTCCAAGGGACTTGAAATTGAACACCTGATTTAGATCGATTAGAACTCAAGAGAAACAGCTGCAAAACTCAGTATTTGAGTCCTCAGCCCATCTGGGAGATTTTCCAACAGTATCAGACAGATAGAATAAACTTCTCCTCTTCCACCCAGAGCTATAGTCACATTGGAGTCCATCGGTATTGGAAACGTCTCAAAAAAGTATGGCTTTCGAATGTGTTTGGATTTGCAGCAACCAGAGCTTTCAGAGGTACAGAAACTCAGGTGGCGTTTGGGGTTTGGTTCTGAGATCTGCCAAGGCCCAGCTCCACAAAGGTATTGACTTCA